CCTTTTTGTCTTCAATATGCAATCTCCATACAAACGGTGGGTCGGGGTCTTCGTTCATTGGTAGATCGAAGAAGATGAACAGAAGGCAGCATCTGGGGGTTTTTGGCAGTGATTGGGAGATTATGAGAAGAGGCGTCGGAGGTTGCAGTGAACTCCTCCTCCAACCTTTTCGTCGCATATCTACAGCGGTCCTGACTACCGCTACTCTGTTCTCGTCGCATCTTCGTCTCTCGTTCTTTCTCCATCGCATATCTCCAGAGGTCGATTTATTCCCTATTGCTCGATTTCATCTCCAGGTAAAACCTCGACTACTTCTCTGCTGCTCGATTTAATCTCCAAGTAAAACCCTCATTTTTTTGTTGATATTAACTTCATGTATACAACCGCAAGATGAGTTTTGGATTTCTACTGCTTGATTACTTCATGCTCGATTACTTCATTTTTTTTCCGATTTCTACTGCTCAATTACTTCATGCTCAGTTTTTTTATTATTAAATCTTTGTTTTATAAGATCATAGAATCTAAATTTCTATTTGTCAAAGTTGTGCTTCTTGCTACTGGGATTAAGTTTGGTTGTTGTTAATGGGTTAAATATCGATCCCTAAGAACTGTTGATGCTTACTTAAGTTAGTATATCTCATCAGAAAGGTGAGTTTGTTTCTTTTTTTCTTGTTTGTTGGTGTATTGAACTACTCAGATAACTAAACATAGAGGGGTTAATTTTCCTTTAGTTAAGTAAATCATACAAACTGCTAAATTAGTTGAGAATACTTTTTTTTTATTTAGGATAAAAGTCTTTGTTCTTGTGTTGAGAAATTGTTTGTTGGTGTAGTTGCTTCCATGAGCATGTCATCACTAAAAATGGTGTTGAAACATCTATAGAGTCTTTCATTAGTTATACATTATAAGTTTGTTTCAAATCAAGCAACAATGAATGACATCTTACCTTTCTACAGGTGGTTGTATCAATGAGTATTGGAAACACGTTGCTCCATTTCAGCCTTGCAAGTGACCTATGTGCTCTTGTCAAATTATCAAATTGACCCCGAAAGCAACATTATCCCAACAGCAGAATGCAGGGATTCATGATGTTCTCAAGAATGTTAGGCACTACATTTGCCTTTTTGCTAGCGGTGCTTGCATTTTCATTCTGGTAGGTTACTTGACTATTGGCACTAGACATTAAAGGGGGGTAGTTTTGTCTTTACCCTAAGTTTTTTCTTCTTGAAGCAATTCTGAAGAAATCTGATGATTGTGAGTTTCTTGTGACAGCAAGTGCTTCGGTTGCTTTTATTTGTCAAATGTTTCGGTTGCCTTTATAAACATGTTTCTTATCTTTGCAGATTGCTTTAATTGCAGTTAAGAAACAACAACATTCTTTCATTTACTTATTTATTATTATTACATGCCTTTAGGTGCTAAGTTTTGAATGAATTGTTGAATCTTATTTCTTGCTTGCAGGTGTTTCTTGGTGCTCTTTATTCACTTAGCCCTTTTGACTTCCTCCCAAGATGTAAGTTATATATTCAATGTTGTTTAATACAAAGGTGTGCATTTTGTACCTTTATTAGCATTGAAGTTTCTTCTTATTATTTATTATTTTTAATAATTACAATTGGTTTATTCTAGATTGGAGCCCATGATCAGCAGCTATACAATGATATTGATTACATTCATTTATGCTATTTTTCCTATTGTTGGTTGCTGTTTTTGCTATTGCAGATTGTTGTTGCTGTTTTTGTTGTTTTGTGATATTGTTGTTGTTGTTGTTTTACTATTTTGCTATTGCTATTTTGCTGTTTTAATAATGTAAATTGAATATGGTATTTGACAAAAAAATTGGAAATTTTTAAATTTTTATTTTTTTTATAAATAAAATGAAGTTAGCTACGGAATAGCTACGGATTTCCGTAGCTATTTAGGTCTGTAGCTATTCCATAGCTATCTAGATCCGTAGCTATTCCGTAGCTATTTAGCTCCGTAGCGAGTCCGTAAGAATTTCGTAGCTATTTTTTTCCGTAGCTATTCCGTAGCTATGGTAGCTACGGAATTTTCCGTAGCTATTCTGTAGCGGTTCCGTAGCTAATCTGTAGTTATAATTTAGCCACGGGCCATTATGTTACAACCATTTTTCCGTAGCAGTTCCGTAGTTATCTGCTTATAGCTACAGAATAGCTACGTATTATACTGTAGCTATTGATCAAGTTTTCTAGTAGTGTGTGTGGTTAATTTGATGAAGGAGTCTAGGAAAAGATGATAGGTTGTGGCACTTGCTCGTAGATAAGGCCGAGCGGAGTATATCGGGGAAGGTGGTGAGGGGTACGAAACCATAGCCAGAACTAGGGATGTCAAAAACCCCCGTGGAACCCCGCTCCCGTGGGACCCCGATCCCGTATGGGACTAAATTTTTTAAAAAACCGAGAGCGGGAGCGGGAGCGGGGGCAAAATTAAACCCCGCTTATTTTCGGGACCGGGAGTGGGAGTTGGTATTCCCGTCCCGTACTCCCGCGGGGCCCCGGTTGTACATTTATGTAAAAAATATATATTTAATATAAAATACATATACAAAATAGATTTTCTAATTTTAAGTGTAGGTTAGGTTTCACTTTCCCGTTTTCAATTAATAGATATTGAAGAGGTAGTGAACTGATCATATATTTTTGGATATGTAAGTATTTTATATTTGTAATATTGGATTTGTCATATTTTATATTTTTAAGATTGATAGAATTGTCGTTTTGTAATATTGAATTCGTAATGTTGAATTTTTAATTGTTTAGTTTCTAAAAGATTATGTTTTAAACTTTTAAAGTTATTAAAAACAAGCTTTTTAGCCTAACACAAAATAGTCGTTTAGCAAAAAAAACGAATTTTAAGCGGGGGAACCGGGGGAACGGGGGCGGGACCGAGGGTGATGGAGGTAACCGGGAGCGGGACCGGGGGCTATGTAAACGTGGGAGCCGGGGGCGGGACCGAGAGCGGGGGCAACAATTGATTTCGGGGGCGGGAGCGGGGGCAGCTATTCCCACTCCCGTTTGGTCCCGTTGACATCCCTAGCCAGAACACAACATGGGTGTTGCGGGATCATATTGAGGGGAGGCTACCGCACCCCGTCTCCCTTTATTTCATTGGTTTTATTTTTTTTAAACTACTAACGACTACAAAATATATATATATATATATATATATATATATATATATATATATATATATATATATATATATATATATATATATATATATATATATATATATAGGTTCAGGTTCATTTGAGATCATTCTAATTTTGTGAGACCGTAAGACCAAATCTAAAAATAATTTTAAAATGCAAAATAAATGGAAAAATCCAAAAATTCTTTTTTTAAATATTATTTTCGGAACTTGAATTAACTAAAAAAATATAAAAAAAATAAAAAAATTATGTTTTTTTTTTTTTGAAAAATACGTGAAATATTCTAAATAGAATATTACACTGATATATTCTAAAAAATAATTTTAAAATGCAAAATAAATGGAAAAATCTAAAAATTGTTTTTTTAAATATTATTTTTGGAACTTGAATTAACTAAAAAAAATAAAAAAAAAATTCTATTTTTTTTAAAAATACGTGAAATATTCTAAATAGAATATTACACTGTACATATTCTAAAAATAATTTTAAAATGCAAAATAAATGGAAAAATCAAAAAAAAAATTTAAATATTATCTTCGGAACATGAATTAACTAAAAAAAATTAAAAAAAATAATAAAAAAATACGTCTCACGGTCTCACAAAATATAGGTGGTCTCAAATGAACCTAACCCTATATATATATATATATATATATATATATATATATATATATATATATATATATATATATATATATATATAGGTAGGTTCATTTGAGACCATCTATATTTGTGAAAACAACTATTATAGTTTAAAACAATTAAAAATTCAAACTCACGTTTTATATATATATATATAACGTGAGTTTGAATTTTTAATTGTTTTAAACTATAATAGTTGTTTTCACATCATGTTTTGTTTTGGAATTTCTTTAAATATGATAAACCTTTTGAGATAGATAATTATAGCTACCACAAGAAAAAATGTTTATTAGGTAGAAATTTTTATGATTGCAATTCGATTTTATGACTGTTGTTTTGCAAAGTAAAAAAATTATCGTAACTAAAATCTCGATCTTGATAACCTTGGTCCAACAATAAAGAAATATAAGTCAAGTTACAAATTTTATCAAATCTAAAATATTTGGTTTAAAGTTTGGATTTGGTTAGTGTTGCTCAAACTAATTTTCGTTTGAGTTTGACTTGTTTCATGGGTTTTTTGTCTTGATCCGACCCGACCCGACACAAACTCATTTGCTAGGTCTATTATTATATTTGATAGAAAAATAATGGTACCACTACTCTTAGATTTTCATGTGTCCGCCGTGTGTGATGTCTTATTTCTAGTGAAAGAAAAAAAAATCTGATGAAAACTAAAAAGCCTTTCATTTATCTTTGTAAATGGGCTTACGATCGTGATTTGTTTATTAAAAAGCCCGATATTGGCCATATGTTATGATTCTTGAATGTTGGCATGCAGGGCTTGAGGCCCCTTTCTTCCCTCTAAAAATGATAAAAACGCACTGGTTTTTCTTAAAAAATAAATAAATAAATAAAAATGAAAACAACAGAACGTATTTTTAACTGATTTTTGGGTAACCGGTTTTTAACTGGATTTCTAATATATGCGGTAAACACAAATGAACTTCGGCCTTGAGTAGCAAATGACATCAAACTTTTAAGCCCACAACTCACCTCCGAATCAATGAAAGTATGTGTTTGTTTGAAGGATTATTTGGACAACACTGAAATGATACAAAATTTTGTTTCACTCACAAGACTACTTTTACTATCTGTCGGGTAGTTCATCTATGAAGAAGAGATTATCACCTCCAATTACGAAAGTAGATAAATCATTGGAGTGCATGTCAAAGCCCTTGAATGGCAACTATATTCCGATGTAAACAACCAAGAGACCTAGGTAATAGATGCACTCCATTATGAAAATTCTCTTGGGTATGTATTATGATAAGTTAATAACAAATATAGCAAAACAGTTTCATGTACATATATCTCCAATGATTCAAACAAACACAAAAAATCAATTGTCCCCAAGATTTTGTAATAAAGTAAAAGCACATGAAAAACCAAGCCATTACTGTATAGTTTTAAAAAAATAATAATAACACTTAGAACCACCATATAAAAGCTTAGATCTATACAAATTTCATCATCTTTGTTCGTGTATATTATGCAAGAAAGGCTAATCACTTATATATACAATGAGTTTTCACTTTTCAATCATCTTATAGTTTGCTACCAATTTATGCGTTTTTTTAGTTAACTTGCTAAAATAATGCAAGAACCAGTAGAAAACGGAAACATGGATACATAAATTGGTAAAAAAACTTGTTTGCATAAATAAGTGATTATATTCAAGAATGAAAATGAGATACTATTTGTTCAAGTGTTGCATACTAATATTCCAGGCTGATGCCAACTGCAATAAAAGTTGGTCAGGCATCAGACCTTCCCAGTCCTGTGGAGGGTCAATAGTTGACGAAGCTTCATTCAAATTCACCAAAATCTCCCTTTTCACTTCCATACGAATTCCTATCACATCATTTCCATTCTCTACAATTGTATCCAGCATCTACAAACATAACAGAAACCAAAAAATAATTTTTTTTTTTTTTTTTTTTTTTTTGTGTTTCTTCATTACCCATACCAATAAAATAGTCAGATAAAGAGGTCATACCTGTTGAATCCAGGACAAACAGATGTCAAACAAGGTAGGTTCCAAAAGGAATTGAGCAACCGCATGCAAAACTTCACTTGCCACATCAGCCGACAGCTGGTCAACCACGGGCCCAGTCCTGTCCATTAGCTTCACAAGCAAAAGATCATCTCCGGTAGACAAAACCTCACCAAACGCCACATCCATGTCACCTTCACAAACTCCATCCATTGCATTTCTCCAAGCAGTCAAAACAGCATTCTTCTTCTTCTCATGATCAGTTGCAGGTGCAGCCCCTCTAATTGCTTCCAAAGTGGCTTCATCTTTTGAAGCTTGCCAAACACTTCTTGCTGAAGGACCAGGTCCAGCCCCTTTCCGCAACCTATTATCCCTATCCACGCCTTTTCTTAACCCTATTTGCATATGTTTATTATTATTATTATTATATCCCCTGTTATGATAATTCAGAGAACCCATTGTGATTGTACTTTCCTACCATATGATTACTACTACTACTACCTCTTTGACTATACATTGACGCTGATGATAAACTGCGTGCCATGTCTTCAACAACTCTCTCTAGGCCCCACACTCTGTTCTCTAAAGTCACCATACCATCACGTGATCCACCTTTAAAATCCTGCAACATGTTCATGATGTAAGCTTGTTGTCTCTCCAGTTGAAGTAACTGTCTTTGGATGCCCAACAAATTTCCTTTACTCTCGAATTCTCGCTTTCTAAAAGACAGATCACCACCTTGTTTTTGCAAGTTGACCGGTTCCTCTTTTGACTTTGACTTTGACTCCGCATTGATGTCTGGTTCCTCTTCGTTTTGTGTATTTGATGATTTGAGGAGTCTACGGGGGAGAACGACTTCGACTTCACCTGAAACCCTCGTTTCGAGTCTTTGAAAGAACTCGGGGTTTTGTTCCTTATCACTTAAAGGAGGCGGCTTCTTTTTCGTTCCAGTTGTCTTTTCGGCTACATTTTGAGACTTTGTTTCACCATTCTTTGATGGGGTCTCTATTGATTTCACATCCAACTTCGGAAGCTCCTTTCTTGACAACTTGGATTGTACTTGAGAATCTTCACCATGACCAGGTGTTTTTTGATCTTCACACCTTTCTGCAATTTGATTCCATAGTTGCAGTGCTTCCGTTATGCTATCTCTAACAGGTTTTATCTGCATCAATTAATCCAGGATTTTGATGTATTCAACAAAATGGATATTTTACTTGAAGGTAGGTAGTTTATGGAAAAGAACCTTATCAAAGCGGATTGCTTCAAGTATTGTTATCGTAGAAGTTGGTTTTTCTTTGATCAAGTTACTTGAATGCAAAGCCAATACAATTAAAGTGTCAGCAGCTGCCTTTCGAGTTGACCAGTCAGAACTACTAAGACAGTCATGAATACTTTGAAGCAGTGGCTCCAAGGCTTGTGGAGAAATAGCACCAACCTGCAAAACCCAACAAGTGTCATAATTAAGTGAGTAAATTTTCAAGAATCAAATGTAGGTATGGAATTCTTTACACACAGGAATAATTAGGTAGAAAGCATTGACCAAACCTGAGAAAGCCTTGAAACCACAGGCAAAAGGGCAGAATTTGCCAAGAAATTAGGGCTATTAAGGAACTTGCAGATCCTAATACAAAGCTTTTGAAAAGTCAAAACTGGTGGATCACAAGCCATTTCCACCATCTTAGCCATACACGATGCTGCACCAGCTTGTACAGCTTTGTTCTGTTCATTCATAGCTTCAAACAAAGGCTTCACAAACAACGAAACCACAGACCCCATATTATTATCACCACTCTCACCCTTCAAATACAGAAAAGAAAGATGTCCAATTGATTCGCGACACGAATCTTTAACACCGGAATCGGAATCTTTAAGCCTCCTGACAATGTGGGCTATAATTTTTGTCAAATGGCTGGCAGCTGATTCGGTGTGGGTGGCGCAGAGGAAGGAAAGGAGTCTGATTGCTTCTTTCTTTACGGCGGGTTTGTTGGTGGTGGTGTCGTTGGTGGCGTCGTAGAGGGAGTTGAGGATCATTGAGATGCCGTCAGGTGAGAGGGTTTGAATGATGGTTTCGAGGTCTTCGACGGCGATCTGGTGGGTGTCTCGGTCCGAGAGTCTGGAGAGTGATGTCAAGATTCTTTGTCTGAGTTCAACCATGGCGAGATGAGCAGATAGTGAAGATGATCGTGAAGAAGGTGGAGATGGTGTTACTGGGGGTTTTGTGGGTTTTAAAGATTTGCTTGACATTGTGATTATGGGTTGGTTTAGAAACAGCAAATGAAATTGACGGTGGTGCCTGCGGTGGTGCAAAAACAGAACCACCAGTGTAGAAGAAGAAGGAAGGGTTTGAAATTGGAAATTGAAAAGCCCCAACCCCAACTGCTTTTTTAATTGGGTGGTTCAGTAATACCCAACGTGAAAGCAACGATCAAGATTCGTAGCTGAAAAAATCAAAATCAAATTTTGAATTCGGAAACTGAAAGTCTAAAGTCTAAACCCACCTAATTGTCTTTCTAATTGTAATTTCTTATTGAAATATACCAACTTTTTGAAATATTGTATTATTATATTTGGACAAATAATACTTCAGAAGATATATTTTAATTAGTGTATAACGTAGTTTGTTATCATATATAAGAAACTAAAAGTCAATATCTCAATTTCTGTTTTAGGTTATAAAACCTTTTATCTATTTATAAATTTATAACATAAAATTTTTAATGTTTATATATACTTTTTCTAGCATATAATTAACTAAAACTACATATATATTACATGTGATTATTCTTGTATGTATTGTTAAAAGAAAAAATAAGTCTAACATTTAAGAGTAGGTTATAAGTTTATAAAAAAAAAATAAGGACTCTATTAATAAAACATAAATTTATTTATGTTAATGAAGTCATTAATCTGCAATGTGATATCTATTTTTAACCACTAACTCGCACACTATTTAATCTATTTTTCAATGGCTTTTGATACAACAAAACTCAATTCTCATTTCTCATGAGAGATATATTGGTAAAAAAGTTACATGTAGATTGGAGTGTGAAGACCTCAACAAGATGAAGTCAGTGACATACACGTATGAATAAAAGGGCATATGATTTGAACACCATTACAATGAATGTCATTATTATTGATAGAAACATAGACTAGTACATTAGTACTCTAGTAGGTTGACTTACAATGAACCTTTTATCGAGTAAATGACTTATGAGTTCATATAGATATAGTTGCTCCATTAATCAAACTTTCCATAACCCACCCACAACTTTTATCATTCATACCTTTCAACCTTCAAGGTTTATGATCTCCTATGCACCAAAAGGTCCTAAAAGTTCAGTGACATGATAACATTTTTGGGAATGTGATGGTATTGTTTCTTTTTGACTTAGTAGGGACATAACTTAATCCATTAATCCATATATCGTCGTGAACTTAATTGGGTGGTAGGTGGTGAACCTACAAAAACATTTATATATTGGTTCTTCAGTAAACATTTAAGTCATCATTGTTGAAGTAGATAAAAGTACCAGGGAATACAATTACAAACAAAGAACCAAAGAGAGATACCAAAGTTAAGTTGAAGCAGATTAAAACGTTTATGTCTTATATGTCACTGATGATTGAAGTTTGAAGAAAATAGAAGCATCAGAAATACAAGGATAACCATAGATGTACATAAACCACATATTATCAAGGCCATTCAACAATCAAGTAAAACTTTGAACTACTACATTTGCATTTCTGCTAACAAATATTTATCATCTCAAAAGAACAATGATATTATACATTTTTTTATCTAAAATCTCAGTAAAACTAAAACATAACAACAATAACTTTAATTTTGGGTGTTGAAGATCAGATCATGCCTTTTGAGTGGTAAAACTTAGAATGAAGTTTTTGATTTCATCGTTTACTGCTTTATCAAGTGCAGTCTTTCCACCAGCATCTTTGACATCATATTTGGCTCCAGCTTTCAACAGCTCCTCTATTTTGGGCTTGTCGCCTTCAGAGGCAGCCATCATCAACAAAATGTCAGCAGGGTGAATGTTCATGCTTAACAGAGCTTCCATCTTATCATATGTTCCCTCGACAGCAAGCATACCCATGTAATTGAAGTACTGCATAAAATTAAAATTGATTAAAACATTATATTTGGAAAAAAAAATTGGGGCCAAATGTAGGTGTCTTATCACCATACAGCCATGGAATTGCCAAAAGCTTTCAATTCCACATCAAATTTGGTACAGAATACAATGAATCATCTTTTTCACTTACTTCAACAGTATACGTAAGTGCCCAATACATAATTCTAATGTCAATTGTCATAAATTGCTCCAATAACCATTAATTTTCATGGAACCCAACGAATGAAGTCTAGAATTTGATTATGTAATGTACGAAAGCGATTAGAAATTTAGAAGAATTCCATACAATTGAAACAGTTAAAAAGGATACCTGTTCGACATCATCCCGATCAAAATCGTCGCGGGATTGACTGCCGTAAATACCAGCACCCTCCGAATCGACGCCATTTTTACCGAACTTGAACCAACAGGTGGTTCTTGAACCACAACTAGGTCCAATTCTTGAAGTTCGCCTGCAAAACCCGAGTCCTTTACGCATTCCCATAAACTGTGAATTGAGTTTACCAAGAACTGGGATCGAACTGTTCATGGGTTTTGTGTCTGTACTCGCGAAGATGAGTTGAACAGTACATGGAATAGTCGCCATTGTTGTACTTCGCTGTATGAAGAACAGAAGACGGGAGGAAATCTCTTATCACCAGAGAGTGGATATACCTGCCAAATGCCTTAAAGTAAGTTCATAATATATAAATATTAAAAGTATTCAAATCACTAAATCAGAGTGGCGCAGCGGAAGCGTGGTGGGCCCATAACCCACAGGTCCCAGGATCGAAACCTGGCTCTGATATAGAGAAAGCTTTCAAACGCTAAACTTTTTTTGTTTTAGATTGCTAAGCTTTTTAGAATATGGGTGACTTTTTTATCACTAAGCTCATTAGAACTTTTATTTAGCTCTTGGGTACGAAATCTAGTAATTAACTATTTCATTCAAATATTTAGCTCTTGAAATTTATGTTCGTCTTTAGAATTTTTATCATGATTTTAATGATTTTACCATTAAATTTTGAAATATTCTAGTTAGCCATGAAGGTGTCCTTGTAGAGATGACAAAACCAAATGAAACTATGACAAAATTGAAATTTATGATTTTACCTCTAAGGTTATTAGAATTCCTATTTAGCCCTATGGCTATCAATAAGTTAAATGACAAAACCAAATGAATTTATGATAAAATTTATGTTCGTGTTTAGGGTCTCTATCATGATTTTATAACTAAACTTTGATAACTTCTATTTAGCATGATGTTAATGAATAACATGAAGGAAATTATGATAAAATTGAAATTCATATTAATCTACTAGGTATGAGATCTGTATGTTATATGGGTTTATTAAAAATAAAAATTAATATCTATATATAAGCATTAAACATTTTATAAAATAATTAAAAAAAAAAAAAGAAAGGAAATCAATACAGATGTAATATTTATGTGAATTTATTCTTAAATTAATATAATGATAACTTTACACGAATATAATGAAAGCATTTCATAAATAACCATAAATTTTGAAAATTTAATGTAAGAAAATCAAAAACCTCAAAAAATGATAAGTGGAAAATAAAAAAAATAAAAAAAATCCAAAAAAAAAAAAACATGTGGTAAAATGATATTTATTTATTAGGTTAGATAAGGTTTTTATCAGGATTTTACCACTAAATTTTAAGAACTTCTGTTTATCCTAAAACGAAAAGAAATTTTAACGAAATTGTAATTCATAATCGTATCTAGTATTTAAAAAAAAAAAAAAAAAAAAAAAAAAAAAAAAAAAAAAAAAACATGACACCTTGTCGTGTTCATGTGTAAATTTGACACAATATTAATATGCATGTGGATGTGGTGCCATCAGTTTAAACACATGTAAGAACAGTAACATGTGGTCATTCTTCAACAGATCGTCATACATCTCTACCAAGTCTTCTTAAGTATCTTTCCATTCTTTAAGACCAGTGATGATATTCATTTGCAACCGATATTGGAGCTCGATTTGAGCCACCAACACTATTGGAAACATTTATAGAAAGTGTTTTTGCCATTTTTGTTTTCAAGAAAATGAGTTTCAGTGGTATAGAAGGCCCTTTGAAAAATCAAAGTTCCTTTTTTCAAAAAGCAACCACTATGGCTTTGATACCAATTGTTGAGAGAAAAACTTGAGACACAATTGAACAAACGTTAGAACAAGTATAGTTGAGGAATTAATTAATCTCAAATGATCTAAAAGCTCAACAATAATAAGTTAATATGTTAGATAGTTAGATAGTTAGTTGCGGAAAAATATGGAAACATAAATGACAGCAGGTAATATATCAAGTAAACACATAAGTTGATTCATAACATGGAATGCATTCAAACCAAGTTAGTGAGTGAGATCAATCTTAGTGATAAAGTCACGAATGACTTACTCCTAAGAGAAGTATTAATTGGTTATGTGTAACGCCCCGTTCCTGGTACGTATTTATTTTTGATTAAATGTTCTTTTGGGAAGAGATACTCGGCGAGTTGTAGCCCTAACTCGCCGAGTAGATGTCGAGTGGATGCGGGCTTTAAGTGATCTACTCGGCGAGTCCACGCCTGGACTCGGCGAGTCCACGCCTGGACTCGGCGAGTAGGCCAATCAGGAGGAGACCCTAATCCTTAGGGTTTGCACCCTATTTAAATGTCCTTACAGCCCCATCTCAGCCCCCATCACCCTCAAAGCATTCCTTATCGAAAACCCTAGCCTTCATTGGTAAGTTTGAGTGATTGTTGCCTTGTGAAGGGACTTTTGGTACACTTTGGAGCAAGTGGAAGAAGGGAGAGGTTGAAGAGGTCAAGGAAGGGGACTTAGATCCAGAACACATTCATTTGTGGTCATCCATTCTGGTAATAAAGTTTCCATCTTTGTTATTGATCTATTAGATCTTGTTTGTCCTTAAATTGTTGCTTTTAAGCCCTAAAACCCCAAATCCTTGAAGAGAAACCTTATGGTTGGGTTATACTTCAGATCTAGACTCTCAATACCTTCTTGAAGTGTTAAGTTTCGGTCATATTGGTGATTAAGGTCCCTCTTGAGCTTAGAACCCCATTAAGAGCTTAGTTTGGACATTTGAAGCCTCTAAAGCTATGCATGCACGTAAAGTTTGCAACTTTACGTGATAAGCATGCCCTAGAAGCCTAGATCTGTGGTTTGGAGCTGCTGCATGGCTAAAATCAGGTGTGTATAGAAAAAGGACTGAATGAACTCGGTGAGTAGAACGATGGACTCGGCGAGTCCTATGAAGCTAGCCGTGGAATCGGCGAGTTGGATGAGCAACTCGGCGAGTCCGATGAAGATTGCCTTAGACTCGACGAGTTGTTCTTCAACTCGGTGAGTCAGATGAACTTGGACTTAGTATGTATGCATCGAGGAAGAACGCGTCGAGTCTTCGCTAAGCTCGACGAGTAGAAACCGATGTAGAACTAGAACAGATGGAAGGGACTCGGCGAGTTGGCGAGCCAACTCGGCGAGTCCGGTCAACCAGGAAGTTGACTTTGACCAGGATGTTGACTTCAATCGGAGGTAAAATAGTCATTTTACCCTAAGATTAGTTATCAGTATCTGACTTAATGTTTATGGAAATTATAGCCGGGGAGACCAGCACCCAGATATGCTAGTCAGTATCCGGTCGAAAGGATCGAAGGGGAGACCATCACCCAGATATGCTAGTCAGTATCCGGTCGAAAGGAATGAAGGGGAGACCAGCACCAAGATATGCTAGTCAGTATCCGGTCGAAAGGACCAAAGGGGAGACCAGCACCCAGATATGCTAGTCATTATCCAGCCAAGAGGACCGAAGGGGTAGGTCGGGTACCCAGATATGCCTGACAATATTTGTATGTTATATGGTTATTTGGTATGTGGTACGTTGGGGGAACTCACTAAGCTTCGTGCTTACGGTTTTTAGTTGTTGTTTCAGGTAGCTCTTCAGCCAAGGGGAAGGAGCTGGCGCGGTAGCAGCATATCACACACACGCTCTTGTTTTTCCGCACTATGATACATTATGGGATTTGTACTCTGATATTATTGTGATTTACGTTCTGGTTTACAAACGTGAGACATGTTTTATCAAATGCTATGGTCGAATGATATTTTGTTACTAACGTTTTGCAATTCACTTAATTAAAAATGAAATTTTTGGTCCATAATTTTTGGGATGTTACAAGTTGGTATCAGAGCTCAAGTAAGTATTCCCCAATGTACCCATACAAGTTTATGTATGTTTATCTGTTTCAGTAGAACAACATTCTAGAATAGGACTAAGGATCTAGGAGTGATGCCTTATGTGCCTGCTTTATGTGCTTCAATATATGAAAATTGCATGCTAGGAATTGAGTAGACAGCAGTAGGATAGCCTGTTTAGGTTATGCCTGATAACATGAGCTTAGCCTTGTATGCTAGTATAGTTTCCCATTATGCTAGTATAGTTTCCCATTATGAGGATAAAATTGCTTGAGTAGTCTCCTATGTCTGAATGTTGCTTGCTTTGTGCTTTGTGGGACTCTAAGTGATGGGAGTTAGACATTAGGTGAACGCGTCACGTTACATGCGAACAGGGTTGAATAATCTCAGAGTGCTAGACTTGGCCTTATTGCGCAGCTCTTCTTTGAGTCTAACCGTTGTAAGGACGAGTCTTTTACTTGAAGGTTTATCTGAGCCTTGCCGCATGTGATGGTATTCAGGTGATGGATAATTGGCATCATAAGGAGGTTTTCAGCAGCTGAGGACTGGATCGGGTATAGTCAGAGAACTCCCTAGGGCAAGCCTAGGATGGGAGTAGCAGAGATTATTAGCAGTAATAGTGATTTGGTGGATTCAAGGCAGTACTTGAGGAAAGTACGGATAGATGTGGAAGGTAGTATGGGCCCGTACTACTGGAAGCAGAGGATCCGTACTCGAATCAAGGAAAGCTGAGATGAGATCAGGAAACTTATTGTAGTAGTGATTCCTCGAGATATATTAGTGTTCTTGACGTTTATTATGTTGTGTTTCAGAATGATGGTATTATGCCCTAGACCAGCAGTTGGCAGTTCAGGGGAGGGATCGGGTTCGGGATCAGGTTCCGAGCCGGTGGCTGAGAGGCTACGCGATTTCATCACGTCAGAGATCACCAGGGGCATCCTTGAGTCGACCCCCATTATCTTCGGGTCGATCAAGGAAGTGATAGTTGAGCTGATGGAGGATCGCCTTTGGGCATTCAGCAGCGACATGGCATCTGGCCAGTCAGGATCTCGCATACTGTCCTTCAAGGACTTCAGGGGCAATGCTGCACCGGATTTTCACGGGGCAAAGGAACCCATAGCTGCCAGGCGATGGATTGCATACATTGAGTCTGCATAGTTGACTAGCTTTTGCCCTAAGGGTCGAAGGTGAGATTTGCAGCAGGATGTCTGAGGGATCGAGCTAGGGATTGGTGGGAGTCCGTTGGTGACTCGTTGGGAGCCTCGGCTGTCGACGCTATGACCTGGTCATACTTCGTGACCAGGTTCAGGGCGGAGTTTGCAGCAGCTGTCAAGCTTCGGCAATTGGCCAGGGAGTTTTTAGATATGAGGCAGACGACGGAGACTGTGGCGGAGATCACCGCCAAGTTCCGGGAGAGGGCATTTTTGGTGCCCCAGTACGCGGGAGATGAGGATATGAGAAGGACCCGCT